CCCTTCACCCCTCCTTCACACCCCTCACCCCCCTTCATCCCCACCCCCTTCATCCTTCGTACTGGGATACGTACCTAAAAAACGGACGTGTCCCTTGGCAGGGCCAGGCTTGCGGGTGCCGTCGGCCATGGAGGAGGGGTGCTGCGGCGATGCCGAGAGGGAGTCCTGGATGGGGGAGGTGGCCACGGACTTGTGGACGGCGATCTTGCGCCCCTCCTCGTGGAGGGCGCAGCAGTGGAAGTCGCACTCCCCGTTCTGGTTGCTGGGGCTCCCGCTCCTGGAGGCGGTCGGCTGGTGCATGTGGTTTGAACACTCTGGTGTGTGGATGTGTATGCTAGTGCTCTCGAGGGAGCTACCCTGTTTGATGAGCCGCGGGTGCGGGTGGTAGACCGAGGAGCCGCTCTGGATCTCATCGTGGTTGATCACCGTGATCTGGGGGCTCGGCGTGAAGCGGGAGGGGGCGCCGCCGTTGAGGCTCCCGCCCCCGTCCAGGCTGGACTGCACCACCAGCGACGACTGCTTCTTCGGCGTCCCGGCCGCGCTCGAGGCCGCCGTCCCGTGGCTCGACTGCCCCGGCCTCTGGTCCCAGTGCAGCACCACCGTCACTCGCCCCTTGTTGTCCATTATCTTCCACGACGGAGTCTCATGGTCCAGCTCTAGCGCGTGAATCGTCTCGCACACGATCTTCGGTATCGCCGAAATTGCTGCAACAATCCAACGACCAATTAGTAAACCTCCTAAAGCTTAACTGAGAGAAACAACACTAAGAAGTGGACCGAACTGCGGGCCGATTTTTGAAACTGATAGACAAAGCTATCGACAAAGACGACAAAAGGAATTTGGAGGGATCCTATTGGTGGAAGCAGGTGGTGGCAATGGACATTGAAGGTAGGTAATCGACTAACTAACGGCAACCCACTAAATACCCGACAGTTAGTCCATCATTTTCTTCCTTTGTCTATGAGAACCAATCATGTCAACCATTAAGATCGCTCCATGCTCCCTATGTCTTCTTTGTCTATCGCTTTGTCCATCAGTTTCAATAATCGCCCCGCTGGTATGTTCGGCCAATGGTGCTGGATCCATACCATTTCGCGGGGAAATCAATTTTCAATCAATCAAGTTTCATTTCAATCTGCAAATTTTAAGCCTTGAACGTAACAGATCAAAACTATTAGTATTTTTCCTCGGAACTCCATTTTCTTGGACTACTGACTTCAAATTTTTACAACTCCGGTTCAGTAAAACATTCTAGAGCATTTTTTGGACCATTTTTTTAATAAATTTCTTTGAGGAGCGGTTCTAATATCCTCATTTTGGAATTTGTGGCCCTAAGGTCGTATTTCCCATGGACACTCACATTTAATTTGTGATATAGCGGCATACCTGTGCGAATGACATCCGCTCCTGTGGGATGCCAACGTTCACCCGCTCGGAGGAACAGGATGACAGTATTGTCTGGCAGTGTTCTGAAATACTCTCCATCCTCAACCTGAGTTCCGTCGGCTTCGAGCACTAACCGCACTGCCTCATTTGCAGGAACGCCTAGTTTTTCTTTACCTGTAACAGATGTAGTCCCGTTAGATTTTAGCTCCAGCACACACTGATTAGAACGATTTATTGATGGAGCCCTTGCATGCGTGACTGCGTGAGGGATTTGCGGTTTAAGTGCTTAAACTTTCGTAAAATTTCGCGAGAAACACGATGGTGCCACTGGTTTTCTCTGAAATCAACTCCGAAGCTCGAAAAAGTTCTCAAAGTTGAGGTCCTAATGGAGGGAATATCCCACGTTACCTTGAGTCCCTTTACAGAGAGAGTTAAGACAACGCGGATCGCGGATGTCACAAACGGGAATAAAGATTACACAAATCGGACGTTTTTTGTAATCTTTGATCAACTCAATCCCGTATTCCTGTCTCCGTTCCATTTTTTCCTTGCCGTACCCGCAATTCCACGGTCCATTCCAGTTTATAATCTTTGCAATTGGTGAAAGTGTAATCTTTATTCCCGTTTGTAACACTGCGAGGACCTAAAATACGAGAATCAATCAGAAATGGATTTACATCGTCTTTACTCTCAATACAAAGGGACTCTAACGCTACCCTGAGAGTCCACCTCTATATCTACTACTAGCCGTTCTGGACGCGCTTTGCGCGTCCGCCACGGCCAGCGGCCAGCCAAGGGGCTGCGCCCCCTGGCCCCCGATCACTCGCTACGCGAGTGACATTCGGCTCGCTCCGCGAGCCATTTTTCTCAGTGATTGGACATTTGATCACTAACAATAAGATGTATACATTTTGGAGACTCTGCAGGAAAACATGATTTCGTCACAGAACCTGGTTGCCGGAGCGTGCCATCATTTGCACATGAATAGATGTGTGGAGATGAAGCGATGATGGGGATCGAACATTTCTCCAAAAACGCATTTGACTGGGACGTCATCCCATCGGGTGGTGGAAAAAGACAATCCATGGATCTCCTTCCGCGATTTGACTTGCTGAAGGGGCAAAAGTTCATCTTTACCTCTTGAGAAGATTATCGGTGGCGTAGGGGTCTAAAAACTGCTCAACGATTGTATAGTTCGAGTTCCGAATTGCAATGAGCCCACTCGTGTTTTTCTCTTATACTTTCATCACATATAAATTCCTCTGATGTTTTTGTTTTATTCTCTCTGATTGCATATTAGTAATCATATCCTCATTTCATTTCCTTTCCCTTTCCTTTTTCCCTTTCTGTAGCATCTGTGTCCATTTACAATTATTATTTTAAAATAAGCTTTCCCCTAGTATAAAATTGATGCTTCAAACTGAATCAATTGTTTTAATGAAATTTCCGGCTAAATCATGGGTTTTCCCAGGAAGGCAGCCTTTCGTCCCTCCCAGACTCTATTGTTGCCAGATAAGTTGCTTTTTTAGCACTTTTCCCAATTCAAATCCTTGTAACATATTCATATTTATCACACAATCTGGCAACCTCTCGAGTGAAATAGAAAGAGGTAGAATCGCTGAAAGTCTGAATCCTTTGAAGTTTATATTAATGATACATATAAACTTTCCACGCAAAGATGGGGAGTATATACATTAGCAGGGTTGCCGTGTTTTCAATTCTGGAGTCCCCAAATGAAGTGGCAACCCTTTTGTTGTATTTGCTCTCTCTTTCTTTACATAGAGAGTTTGTCTTGACATACGTAGAATAAAGAGACTTACTAATAAAGATTTGGACTTTCAGGGTAGCGTGGGTTACTCCATCCCCTCCATTGCAGCCTCAACTTTGAGAGCTTTTTTGAGCTTTGGAGTTGAAACTAGAGAAAATCAGTGGCACTATCGTGTCTCTCGCAAAATTTTACATAGGTATCAGTACTTAAATCGCAAATTCCTGGCACATTCAGGAGCTCCATTTATTGATCAAGTGGGCCATCCGGCAAATCATTTTGATTTTTGGCTGGCCATTTTCATCTGGCCCGTATTTTCGAAGTTATTACAAAGTCAAATGTATGTTTATGTCTATATTCCTTCCGTTAAAATTTCCGTGTGTATGCCTTTGCGGTCAATGGTTTCTCTATGATTAAATCGCCTCCATATAATCGGATAAGCAACTTGACTGGCTCAAAAGTTAAAATTGCTCTGTGTCAAAGTACTTTTCACTTTCATCCTTCCCTTTAACGCGCTTAAGTATCAGTTAGATTTGAGTTGATTTGGTAGATCAGCCCTTTAGTTTATCCCTAAATTTTTTTCCAATCAGTTAGAGTACATTTTGCAATAAGGAACCACAATTTCTGGCTCTTCCATGAAAACACGTATCTGCATAGGGAAACCAATGGCATCATAACATATATATGTTGTAACTAAAATGAACCAGAAACAGTGGTTCCTTATTACAAAATGCAATCCAGATATGAGAGACCAGCAATCTCTTAGTTCTCCTTTGAGAAATCACCTAAGAATCGTAAGATAAGCAATCCGACCGTTTGGAGATTTAAAATAGGTAGTCATCTATTCAACACGTATCCCTCCCATAGAGTACATGAGAGTCGCCGTGTGCTGTAGCACCGATGAAAACGCTGTTTTGTCCAGTGCTTCTAAAACTAGTGCGCAGCGACTTGCCATGCCACATACGCGGATTCCTAGCTCCTGGCTTCCCTCAAGGCGCTAACGTAAAAATTAATTAACGAAAAACCGGGAGGCACGTATCTTTTTTATTGATGCTATGACGTTGGTAAACATCGTTTTCCAAAATTTGCGATAATCGATTATAATTGGGGATTTTTTATGAGGGACTTACTACTTTATAACAAATCCCGAAAAAGCCTGATTCCGCCATGAACCGCCTCGTTAAAAACTGTAAAATTGGTCCCAACCTGATCCCAACAATCGGCGAACAGAGGGCTGGAAAACCACCGTACGAAGATTGACTTCAGCGGCGCTCCAGGACATGGCGACTCTAATGTAGGGACACACTGAGTGGAACATCAAAAATATCGCTGTTCAACCGCAAGACACTCCTCTTAGCAGTCACAATATACACCTTGGAGTTTCTATCGGTGTCATCTTGTGCTTCACTCATTGGCGAATCTAAGTTAAACTTGTGCGCTTCGGCATCAGATAATTTTTCTGTTAAAATCCTGGCCCCCAAAAAAGAGACAACCTTTCGCGTGCCCAACTAGTTAAAAAACTGGAGACGTCACTCATTTTACATGGGCGGTGCAATAACGGAACGTACTCCGTCTTTATAGGTGGAAAAATAGTATAGGCGCCGCGGCTTACTCAAGGCAGAAATCTGGATACAACTCTTCGTGTTCAAGGGATGTCCATGTTGCATACACACGAAATTACGGGCGTTTTGGTTTTCGTAATAGCTGTATACCTAGCTGCATTCGCTAGTTGTGTTCGAGGGGTATTTTTATGCATGTGGGGGGGGGGGCTGTGCATTGACCAAGCTGCCTCCAAAATCATTGCGCAGACGCCACAGCTCTCGGAAAAGGTTATCCGATGCGCCGTCTCGATTTGAAAAAAAATCTGACTAACTATTTGATTTTTATTTGTTGGTTACTTAAATCTTGAAATATATACATTTGAGTCGTCCATATAGCAACGCGGAAATCGGATAGGGCTTGTAGCATTAATTTGATGTTGCCGAATGGTGCGATTTGCAGAATCGACATTCGCAGTGATTGGCCAAAAAGTTTTCGGTGGCAAAATTTGCGAAACATTTTCACAGCCCCTCAGGATCTGCTGTTGCCTTTTAAAACTGCATTTTAGTTGCGATATTTTAATTATTTTGCTTTCAGTCAGTACAGTGTTTCCGAAAATATCCGATTCCGCTGAAACTATATCTCGGTTTCGGTGTTTGAAGTGAGGGTGACAAAGCAATTTTGTTTGAAATGAGCGCTGTTACAGAACCTTTTTCAGATTGGCAGTGGGAGTTTTGAAAAGAGACATTTGCAGACCTAAGACATCTTGGTTGACGCACACCCTCCACAAAAAAAAATGTATCGCCAAAGTCCCTCGAACACAATTATTATTGGCTGTTGCAACGAAGTGCCGCTATTGAGAAAGCCAAATAGCCCGTAACTTCACGTATACAACACACGCGTGAGAACAGATGACTCGAATTTTAAACATATAATCTGCTTTTGAAATTTGAAAGTCTTTAAATTAAGCCATCCCCTCTACGGTTGGCATTAGCTGATTCACTTGTGGGACAACAGTGCACTTGTTGACACTGTTGCAAATCAAGAATTAAGCAAAAGTCGAAGTAACTTTTCAAAATGTTCAAGTCAATTTATGACCTCTAATCCGTCATTATAAAGGCGTAAGTCGTGTCTTAAAAGCACTGGTATTAGGGCCAGAATTTTAAAAGCACTTAACCTAACTAGCTTAGATATTATGGTTGCAGCAACAGAATAGCTCATTTTTTAGTGATAGACATCAGTTTATAAGCTCATTCGATTTTAAGAGAGTATGAACAATGCAAATGTGAAATTCCCTATCATATTAAAAAAAAAAAAAAAATTACTCCGAAAATCTCTTAAATCTACAGTCTGAGACATCAAGGGTCAAATAAATTATGCAATCCAAAGTATAAATTTGCGTTAAGATTGGTGTTAAAAATTATGTAAAAAACCTTTGCTCTGTCATGTAAGGAAAACGTAGGTACTCATTTACGCATAAAAAAAAGACCCACTAGGAATTGGCAAACTAAAAATTGAAAGGTTTTGTAATTATGTAATGTGAAAACTGCAATTACAGTTAAATTAGTCAATTTAATAAACCAGTTCATCATTTATGCATTCACCTTAATATGAATAAGCATAATATTAAAACACAATACTATTAAAAATAATATTTACAGTAATTATTCATTTTATGCCAAAAATAAAGGGAAGTTTTAATAATAATTCTGTTTCATGAAGTTGTGCGTTTTTTCTGTCATCCTCATTTAAGGACACTGATTAATGTACCTTCATAATCTATGGCTCTTCACTTTCCCTTCGATAATTGTTGGAAAAGTGTACATAGAAAATGTATTTTTAGTCTTAACTAATTATTCAAGATTTTGACGGCAGGCCAAAGACATCCCCTGCATTTCATTTCTGCAGCTATTTCAAAGCCAACAACAATCGAGGTAAATGGTTTCCGAGTTTCACCACCCTGATAAAAATTGGCAGTAGAATCTGTGTTCCAAAATACCATTGACCTACAGCCGGCTGTAAGATTTCCAATAGCTTCTATAGCCGGCAACACACCATTTATTGCGCATTGCTTATAGCCTTTTATAGCCGATGGCGATTAAGCAACAGCCTGGCGATAAAGTGTATGCTAAACGTTACTAATTACGGATAATAGGATTTAGTGAGTTTTTGGACTACCGCTCTCTTTTTGGGCCGTAGTATCTTGATTTAATTGGCGAGGAAAGCTTCGTACTTTTGAAGGATGCCTGCCATTCCTAATATGTTGGAGAGCCTTCAATTTCGTATGATACTGTGCAATACCTCTGGTGTGAAACAGTTGCTTCAAGCGCCGTGGTACGCTGTGGCGCGGCGCGGCGGGCGGGCGCTGAACGCGCCTTGGCGCCTACAAACCTAACAGGGATACTTCACGCATTGCGTAATGCGTGAAGTATCCCTGTTACGTTTGAAGGCGCCAGTGCGCCGCCGCTCCGCTTTATGTTAGGCTCTAATATTTAATCTCGTGGAGTCAGCGTTTTTCAACTCATGACTTTGAAATGTTTGCACACTCTGTATGGATTATTCTCATTTTAATTGATAAAAAAAAATATGTAGTAAAGGAAAGTATAATGTGCGTTTTGTAAATATTAAGGTGATTCCGTACAAACTTAAGGATTTACAAAGCACACGAATTTATACACAATTTCTTATAGCCTTTCATAGCCGATGGCGAAAAAGCAACAGCCAGGCGATAAAGTGTAAAGCCCGGCTGTATAATTTTTTATCGCTTCGTGTAGCCCGGCCGTATGATTTTTTCAACTTTCTACAGCCAGCTATATGATTTTCTATCGCCTTCTTCAGTCGGCTATAAGAACTCCTATGGTATTTTGAAACGCAGCTCCTATCGCCAATTTTTACCAGGGCATCGATAACGGTGGCGTGGCGTGAGTGATCTAGTATCGATATTTCCCCATTTGAAGCTGCGGTAAATAATCAATTATTAAGGTGTTCGCTGCGACCACTCTGTTTATCGATCCTTTTCTATGGGTTTAAATGACAGATCAATCGATATATCGCAAAACACACCACGCCACTGAGATCCTCAACTGTTAAGTCCCCTCTCAAATCTTCCAATGTACATGAGCTCCCGTCGTATAAGAGCGTCCAATTATTAGTTTAAAACTCATTCGCCCATTAAAAGTTATTACTCTATCTGGACTTCCTAGGAGCCCGTATTTTTCGATAGTTCCAACCATATCTAACAAACGATAGATAATGGATGAGGCCTACAACACTCTACTGATGCAGTAGAACTTTCTTCACCTTAAATTCATAGTAGGTAAAAAACGTTCTGAAAAAGATATCTACATGTCTACTACGAATGAGATTTTATACATAAGGTAAAGGAACTTGAAGTATAACTCACCTCGGATTTCTAAATCTTTTAGCGTGTTGACGACCAAGCTCTTTCTGACGTTTCTCAAGCAATCCCAAATCTTAAAAGGCCGACGTCCTCGCAAGTCCTAGAACAAACAAAAAGGTCAACCTTGGATCAGTATTCAATAACGGTGCCCATATCAAAATCGGTATCCATAAATTAATACAACCTATTTATTATATACCAATCAGTATCAATCAATGTTTATACTCTGTACACCTGCATAAAACCTGCACACAGTACATTTTCTCATCATTTTTGGCAATGGAGAATTTGCATGCCAATTTTTAATTGCTTCATCTGGAACTGGTTAAAGAGCTGATTTCACGGTATTTTTTTATAATTTTTTTCTGTTATGAGAAGTAAAGTATAAATAGGTTTAAAAGTGAGAAAATGCACCGCCTAGTGACGTCATCTGGCTGCATTTCTCATTTACACACGTATTCTAGCAGATTAGATGATTTTGTCATATCTTTTCGGTATCCTTGTATTCAGTTCACTTAGCAGTTTCCACCTAAACACGAAATTCATCAAATTTCAGACACCTGCAAATTCTCTTTTGGTCCGTTGCCTGCAAGAGATACAGGCAAATGAATATATTTTCTCTCAGTAGTATCACACAAGTGGCGAAGCATGAATCGTCTGGTATCGATATTTTCCCAATCTGAAGCTGTGGTAAAGAATCGATTATTAAAGCGCTCCTTAAGAGCCCCCTGATAATCGATCCTTTTCCATAGGTTTATATGGCAGGTTAATCGATTCATTACAGAACACGCCACGCCACTGTAACATACGAAAATCCCGATGAGCGTATCAATAGCCAAACTGCGAAACCACGTATCTCCACCTGCGACGTGGCAGATTTCGTGTCATTACGGGCGGAATTAGGATTTTTTTTTTGGGGGGGGGGAGGGCCGGATTTAGGGTTTGGCCACATGAGCCGCGGCCCATGGCGGTAAATCTAGGGGGCGGCAAATTTTGCAATTTTTTAAATGTAGGTATAAGAAAAAATCTGATTCAGAAAAAAATTACAAACTTGAAAAGGCGGCAAAATCTCTCATTTCCTGAGAGTATAGTAATTTCTAATTTTGTCGTCTTTCGGTGATACAAGAGACAGCACCTTTAATTAGTCGAGTTAAGGGAGAAACCAAACACGCAATTTGGCCCGGTGCGGCGCAACTTTAGAGAGAAATGATGACGAGGACTCGAGAAGAAAAGGAGAAGCCCTCGGCGCGGCGGTCGGCATGTAACACATATTAGCGCCTATAAGACTGCAAGAATACTTCACGCATTGCGCCAAACACAGTGCGGTCTGCGCGACGCGGCGGTGGAAGTTAAAAGCATTAAACCACATTTATGTTTGTTCTTTCATAATTTTTTCGTTCATTTCTTATGAATGGAGGGCCTTGTCCACACAGAGAAGGTTTACGAAACTTAAATTTCGCGCGAAGTTCCGAGAAATTTTGCTAGTAGTGTTGACAGAGCTTTCCCAAAAAATGTGTCCAACATGAGTAAACGCGTCTTACGCACCCCTTTTCCTCCGGCACGTTCTTTTGATGGTTTTTATTGACACAGTGGTTGGGAAACAATAGTTATTGGACCTTGCTCAGGGAATACGCTGTTTATCATTCAAACGTTGCCAAATTTTCTCTGAAAAAATATTTCAAAGGTAAAACTGCAGGAACGTGTGAATATTGGTTTGCGGCGTTTCACACTTCCTATCTTACCTCATGTTCGTTTGGTCTCCTTTGAAAAAATATAGAAAGACCGGAGATTTTTTAACACCGCGATCGATACATGCGTTCTTGCAGTTTTACTAACAAATTATTTAAAACCAAGATCCATCCTTGCTTCTAATTGGTTTTCTGGACTTAAAACGTTGGTGTCCCTTACGAACCGAAGTTTGCTCTCTATGATAACGCTAGAATTTTAGATAATTTTTTCCTGAAACAATGTACAGCAAACTTTGAACTACTACAATCCCGGTTCTCTTCTTACATTTTTAAGCGTTCTTTATACTAAAATATTAGTAGAACACACCTCTTTGCTTTGATATTAATAACTTACAATATGGAGTACATGGATATAGAGGTTCCTTTTCCCATAGAGGGCCAGCCTCAGTGCCACCACCGCAATCTATGTGCGATCGAGATCTGATAGATGTCACAAGTCGAAAAGTGCGTATCTTCGACTATCCCAATCTCGGTTCATGTTTTATTTTTCAAGGAGGACACTGATCAACAAGTTGTCATGGTGATTTCTGTGACTTTTTTCTATTCACTCATAGAAATTCATAGAAAATTTCAAGGGTACCTTCCGGTCAGTTTTCTTTTACATACAAATGAGACATTGTACATTTGGACCGCGTTATGCAGACAGGACCGAAGCCACATCGGCCATTGCCAAATTTAACTGGGCAATTAAATTTTTTACAAAAGAACGTTCGCGAGGATTGTTTTGAAATGTCGGGGAATTTGCTTCGTGGTGCGCAGAAAATTCACTGAAATTTTCACAAAAATCCGCGTGACGGTTTTCATGTAAGAAAGTATAATTAAAATATGAATAAGATAAAATAAAATATAAACATCCGACTAAAAAAAAATTGCCCGAATAAATTTGGCAACATCTGAAGGCCGATTATTGAAGTTGATAGACAAAGCTATAGACAAAGAAGACATAGGGGGTATAAAGCAATCCTATTGGTTGAAATGAGTATAGTTTTCATAAACTAAAGGTAAAAATGATAGACTAACTGTCGGGTCTCTCGTGGGTTGCCGTTAGTTAGTCTATTACCTACCTCCTTTGTCCATTGCAACCATCCGCTCCTACCAATAGGATCCCTCCAAATCCTTTATGTTTTCTTTGTCTATTGCTTTGTCTATCAATTTCAATAATTAGCCCGCTGATGTGGCTTGGCTCCTTTCTGCTGAACGCGGTCCATGTGTAAACTTCGAGTTCGAGGTACGCATTCATCGACTTTGGATGTGGATATCGATAATTATTTTTTAAGGAGCTTCGCTAAAAGGGTGATGACGTTAGGAGAAACGGGAAGGAAAGGGTGTGCCGAAAGCCACAAAATTATTAGACGTAAAGTCTCTGGACTGCGGAATACGGGACGGGGATGGGAACGGGGGGCCG